AGTAAGTCAATGTACTTTTGCAATTTTTTTGTTTCTACAACCACAAGATTTATTTGCTATATGAACTTAATGCATCCATATCTCCTTTGTGTACTTATTAAGGGACTGATACTAATGCCTGCAAGTAAGGGCTGCAGGATCTGATCCTAAGTGTGATAGAAAAGTTCACTATAATGAATGTGATTTTCTAAGATTCTGTTCTATCAATTTCATTAAGTAACTTATATTTTCCTTGTATAGCACTGATAAAGCACACTATCTAACATACACACATGGTAGTATTGCTTTTGAAGATCAGTGTGATATTTAGGAAACATCCAGCTGAGTCCTCTAAAGCCTGGAAAGATGCCGCAGAGATGTCATTTTGGCAGTGATGCACTTTCTCATTATTATTTTTTATTTTTTGGGCTAACTAATCATAGATTCACTGGAAGGCAGGATAGTGGGGTTGAGAGGTGTTTGATGTGCTTTGAGTTTCTGGATTCTGGAAGGAATATTTGGAGAAGTCTAGGAAAGCCTGAATAGCAGTGTTTGAAAAAGTTTGGCATTCTAAGGCCTTCGCCAAGGATGGGTCCTAATAATGACAAGGTGGCTGTGCTGAAAGTTGCTCACCAAAGAATACTAAGGACATATCTATGCTATAAAATTACGTCAACCTAAGTTACGTCGCCATACAGCCACTGCAGTTATTACATCGCTTGTGCATGTGCACACCATGCTCCTTGTGTCAGCGGTGCATCTCCTCACCAGCAGTGCTTGTATCAGTGCAGAGTGCAGTACACTGTGGGTAGGTATCCTACTGTGAAACTCACCACCATCCAGTGCAGTTTGGAAAGTTTTTGCAATGCTTTATGGGGCTGAAATGAGTCCTGCTGGGGTGACCGGGATCCTAGGATCAACTTCTCATAATGCAGTGCTTTCCATCCCATAATTTCATCTGCATCTCATAATATTTTGCACCTCTTTTCAAAATCCCTACAAGATCATGCATCCCTCCTTGCTGTCCACCACCTGTGACAGACACATGAAGCCTGCACATCTCTGCACTATTGTCATGAGCATTGCAAGCCCAGGCGCTTGATCCTGAAGGATTTGCAGAGGTACAAGAGGAGCCACGGGGGACGTAACAATTCCTTGGAGGCTAGATTGCTGTGGGACAGAGAGAGAAACAATTTAAGGTTGCTGGTGGCACTCACGGAGCAGCTGGAGATGATGGAGTGCCAATTCTGGGCCCAAGAAACAGCACCAACTGGTGGGATCGCATTGCCATGCAGGTTTGGGATGATGAGCAGTGGTTGCAGACATTTTCCACGTGCAAGGACACACTCCTGGATTTGTGTGCAGAACTTTCCCCAGCCCTCTAGCACAGGGACACCAAAATGAGAGCCTCAATGACAGTAGAGAAGTGGGTGGATTGCTACTGGTCAGTCAGGAATCAATTTGGAATTGGGAAATCCAACATGGGAGCCATTGTCATGCAAGTGTGCAAGGCCGTTAATCACCTCCTGCTATGCAGCACTGTGACTCTGAACAATGTGCAGGACATTGTGGATGGTTTTGCAACAATGGGCTTCCTGATCATGACATCACGCAGAAAGTCCTCGTTAGTTTTCCATGGCCACTTTCTAATTCTGCGCAGCCGTTCAGCCAGCGATAACAAAGAGGGAGGCTGGGCTCCCAAGGTCATATCTGTGAAGCCAAAATGCAACATTTTACAGAAGCAGTATTCTTTGCAACACACGGACCACTGATTCAGTGATTTAAAACACAGCCACTATTCACATACCTGTCACTAACTGGGTGACTCCAGGCAAGCACAAGACCCCAAAATGGTGAGTAGCCACAGGGGCAGGGGAAATCAGTGTTCCAGGACCGTGCTGCCCCCTGGGCACGTGGCTCTTGGGGAGAGCCAGACCTGTAGGAGGGGGGGCTTATAATCATTACTGTCCTGACATTTTCCACGGGCTGTGTTCATTATGGAAGATATCTCGCTGCTGAGGGTGAGCAGTGAATCAAGGGAGGGTCTTCTCCAAGACTGTGGCTTCCGCCCTGGCCTTTATGCGGCTCGCCTGTGTGCAGCAATGGTCGTCCACCCCTCCAGTGACGGCAGAATGGCATGGGAAAGTTACCCTTAATAGGGCAAGAAACAAAGCAGCTTTGCCAAAGAACCTGCAGCAGCAGATTGCCCAGTATCTCCAAGAGAGTTTGGTGGAGATCTGAGGCAGATTCCTGTGAAGTGAGGGAGTGAATCAACACCCTGTTCCGCCGCTCAGACTAGGCATGTGGTGGTACATGCATCATACAGACACAAGCCTGCTTTCTGCAAACCTCCAGCCCCCAAAAACTCGCTTCAGCAATTCCCAAAATCAAATCCACTTATCACGGGCTTCCTCTCCTGTTTTTGCTTCGCCAAGCTCCGACAGCTGTGACTGGCTAGCCTCCTCTGGGGTAGAAAAGAGCTCCTGGCTGCATGCATCTCTGACATCCAAGTCATCCTTTGCCTCTGGGTCCCCCCCCCCCCACATCCTTGTCCAAGATTTCCTCCTCCTGGCTTGGTCCACTCTCGACTGGCACGCAAGCCACCGAAGTATCCTTCGCAGTGGAAGTGGGGTTGCCAGCAAGTATTGCATCCAGCTCTTTGTAGAACCAGCAGCTCTTGGGCACAGCATTGGAGTGGTGATTTGTCTCCCGCGCCATGTGGTAGGCATTCCGCAGCTCCTTCACTTTGACCCTGCACTGCAGTGTGTCCTGGTCATGGCCCCTTTCTGTCATGCATCATGATATCTGTCTGTAGGTATCATAATTCCAATGGCTGGAGCGCAGCTGGGACTGGACAGCCACCTCTCCCCAAATGCTGATGAGGTCCAGCAGCTTGACATTGCTCCAAGCGGGGGATCACCTAGTGCGTGGAGCAGACATGGTCACCTGGAAAGATGCTCTGAGACCACTGCACGCATCACGGAGCAAACAGGAAGGGGACTTTCAAAATTCTCAAGGAATTTAAGGGGTGGGGCTCACGGTTGGTCACCTGAGGGCAGGGCAGTAGAGTTCAAACCGATGACCAGAGAGCCAAGAACAGGCATTGTGGGACACCTCCCGGAGGCCAATCGCAGCACTGTAATCGACCAGGGTGTCTACACTGGCACTGCGGTGCTGTAGCCCCGGCGCAGAAAGCTGTACGCCTCTCGTCGGGGTGGGTTTTTTTCTTTTTCTTTTACAGCGCTACAACTGCACAGTTTCTGTGCACTAAGGTCTGGTCTTCACTGGGGGAGGGAGGAATCGATCTAAGTTACGCAACTTCAGCTACATGACTAACCCTAACCCTAAGCTACATGACTAATGTAGCTGAAGTCGACGTACTTAGATCTACTTACCACAGTGTCTTCACTCCAGTAAGTCAACAGCTGATGCCCTCCCATCGACTCCGCCTGTGCCTCTCGCCCTGGTGGAGTACAAGAATTGACGAGAGAGCGCTTGGCAGTCGATTAATCGCGTCTAGACTAAATGCAATAAATTGACGCCCGCTGGATCGATCGCTGCCCGTCAATCCAGCGGGTAATGTAAACAAGCCCTAAGTGGCTTGGCACTGTGTACACCTCAGGAGTTACACCACAGAAAGCTGCTTTACTGCGCAGAAACTTGCCAGTGTAGACAAGGCCTAAGTCACTCTGCACAGTCACCTTATGAAGGTGCAGCATGCTTTCCACCTATGCATCCTGATAATCCTGCTAGGTTATGTAGATGTGGTGGCAAGGCTACAGCTATGATTCTCCATGCCTCTTCCCTCCCTCCATTTGGAGTAGCTAGCATCCCACGGCAATGAGGAGGGGGTAGCACAAGAAAACAGAGAGACCGCAGTTGTGGCTAGTCCAGCATATTAATAGTAATAACCCTCAACAGTCTGCTTTCAGAGGCTTGATTGAACTCTTCTGGAAGATACCAATACAAAGTCACAAAACAGTCACAAAATGTTATCACAATTGTTAGACTTCATGTTTAAAGCTTATTGCCTATTTTGTAACTTTTCAGTCTAAAGGAATTTCTCCAGCTCCTAGTTTTACTGATCTGTATGAAGTGAGTGGAAAGGATAGATCTTTCTGGCTTTTAAACTGTCAGTACATGCGAAAATTAACATAATTATTCAAGCATCATGAAGGGTTTAGAATACAACCCAGAAAAGGAAATCCCACCCAGATCTTCTGACAGTGAAATCAGCATACTAGGCATATTATACTGCCCTCACTGTGCATGCATATCTAGGAAGATTTCCCACCTACAAAAGCAAATCCTCCAAAGGGCAGAACTTGGCACTATGAATATTTTTTTATCTCTACTCCTTCCTTAATGTGTTGCTCATCTGCCATTTATTCAGATTCTTTGTTCAAGGTTTGCTTAGCTGTCCCTCAATTTGGCAAAAATGAAAATAAAGATTAGATGAGCAAATTAGAAAACAGATTCACTACAGCAACTTTTTAAAACCTTAACTCTGGTTTATAAGGCTTTCTGAATCTTTTCTTCTATACAGAAGAAATATATACATAAAGATCCAAAATCTTTATGATAATAATTAACAAGTAATGCTTTGCCTCTCAGAAGCTCAAAAAGCTTTTCAAACCGCAATGAATGGAAAGAATGAAATGGAAGTTGTATTCATGCTACAGTATTATTAGATTACTTTTTTATTTTCTCTGTTAAATTGGATTCTTTGATTTGCCCAATACAGCTGTTGAATGCATCTAATAAACACTTGATTTCAGTAAAGGAGTCTATTTTTCACCATATGCACTCATGCATAAGAACAAATTGTGTATGGACATAATTCTCTAAACACCTTGTGTTTGCAGAATTGGAGCTTTAATTTTCATTTTATTCTTGGAATCATATGTAGAATCCAATGCCCTAAATCTTAAAAAGTATGACATTTATCTTACAGAATCTGTGGTTTTCATTATGCTGTTTCTCATTGGACTTTTTTTTTTTTTTTTGCTTTTGCTTTTCAGGTTGGCTTCATGAGCTGGGGAAACGTATAGAGTCTCCTTACTATGGCAATAATACATTAGGAGGCCCGTCAATCAGAAGTGCCTATATAGCTGCCCTGTATTTCACTCTCAGCAGTCTCACCAGTGTTGGGTTTGGAAATGTTTCAGCCAATACTGATGCAGAAAAGATTTTCTCCATTTGCACAATGCTGATTGGGGGTAAGTAAAAATGTTTTGCAAAAAGTCAAATTTGAACAGGGAGGGAAAAAGGCAATTTGAAACTATAATTTGAAATGAATTCAAGTAAAACACTAATCCTAAAATGCCATGTCCTTGATTAAATTTGAAATTTGTGAGCCATGATGTGGTACATTTTCATTAGCTCAGTAGCAAATCCAATGAATCTGAAACCTTTTTGTGGTATAGTAAACCAACAAACAATTGTCTGCTGGTGTCAATTTTTAATTGAAAGGGCAACAATAATATTGAATAAAATATGCCTGATCACTGTTGTAGATTAATATCAAAGCTGGAAGGGTTTTGGTTATATCTGGTCTGCTTATTGTTACCTGCTTTTGATTTATGTTGATAAATGTTTGTTACTGTTGAAAAAATATTTGCTCATTGCAGTGGCTTTATTTCTGTTGAGTCAACCCACCACCTCACTGCGAGATGCCAAACTGGTTTCATCTTCAAAATGTGGTATACCTGGATCAGGATAAGTGATAGTAATAGAGAAAAGTGGAGAGAGAGTTCTGCAGGTTTTTATACATTTACTTTCGTCTCTTCTCCAAAAATATTGGCATTAAAGCATAATACATATTTCATACTAATCAAAGGTGATGCTCTGCATGAGTGGAGGGAAGTAAAGTGAGTCACCATTAGACCGCTGTGCAGCACATTGTTTTTCTGGCAGCTTAATTGTCCCAGATTTGGTGGTAAGTATTTTCACCAATGAAGTTTCACTGCAAGCCTAGTCTTCATGACTCTTAGGGCTTGTCTATACTTACCGCGCTGGTTCGGCGGCAGGCAATCGAACTTCTGGGTTCGATTTATCGCGTCTTGTCTGGACGCGATAAATCGAACCCAGAAGTGCTCCCCGTCGACTCCGGTAATCCTGCTCAGCGTGAGGAGTACGCGGAGTCGACGGGGGAGCCTGCCTGCCGCGTCTGGACCGCGGTAAGTTTGAACTAAGGTACGTCAACTTCAGCTACGTTATTTACGTAGCTGAAGTTGCGTACCTTAGTTCGAATTGGGGGGTTAGTGTAGACCAGGCCTTATTGTCAGTTCAGCAGTGTAAATTTCCACAATGTAAACTTGACACCAGAGACCATGGTACATGCTGAATACCACTGTAAATTATGAATTCACAGCATCCAGCAATGACGTATAAAAATATAAAAAGCCTGATGAATTTTCAGCTCTTTTTCACTCTCCTGGCAATAAGTAGCTGTAATTATAATGATTCAGACAAGGAACAGTGTCTTATTAATTCCAGCAGTTTCATGAATGCTACAGTTAGTACAGTAATTAATTTTATTGATAACATACAATTTCAATGCTGAATAATAGTGAAAAGGTTAAATATTTAACCTTCAAATGTTCCACATGCATTCAAGGTAGTCAAACAAAACTTTTGTAGTGGAATACAGGGGGGGGGGGGGATTGTTTTTATTGAGGTAATCAAGAAATATCCATGAGGGGACGATGAAGACGGCAGGACTTCCAAAAACTTACCTTGGTAAAATATAAAGGAACCCTGTAACTGCCATTTATTTCCTAGATAGAAGAATATCACTTATTTTCATTTCAAATATCAGTTCAGATGCTGGGGGCGGGGCGGGGGGGGGGTTGTTTTGCTTGTGCTTGTTTGTTTTTGTTGGTTTAATTTGCAGACTTTATAATAATCAGAAGTTTGACATTTTTCATGTTAAGAAAAAAAGAGACTTCATTCTCCCTGCAGTTCATGACTATCTTTCGCTGAAGTCAGAGAGATTTATTTGAATTCTGTATGGTGGGGCACAAGGAATCAGGCCTCCAAACAGTTATTAGCTCTCAGAACACTACAAAGAGTTAGTAACTAATTGGTGTGAGATGCAGATCTTGTGTTTAACTTTGAGGGATGTTTTCTAACACCTGGGTAGTGGGTCCAGTGTGTGTGTGTATGCGCGCGCGCGTGGGGGCCGGGGTATTGAGGAAATGCAGAGGGACTGTCAGATTCTTTCAGGACTGTAATGCAGATGCAACAGGAGAAAACTGGCAGCTGAAAGACAGGTTGAGTCAAGGGTATGTTGGAAGAAGAGGGAATGAACTTGCATTCGGGAAGGGGCTGGGTGGAAGCATATGTCAAGAAGAGAAGGAAGAAGAGGTTGATTTAGAGTACTTTTGACTGAAGATTTTTGGACATTTAAGTATGTGGGACATTATTTAGGGGACTCAGCAGAGAGGGCAAAGAGGGGCAGTGGAGTTATGGGGCAGTGGGAGGTAACAAACATGGTAAACAAAGGAACTTATCTTCACCTCAGTAGAATTTGTTGAGGACAAGAAGATTCATCTACATTGTTTCAAGGCTTAAGGTATTTTTGTCTGACAAATGCGGTTCTTAATGTGCCTTTGGTGTATAATTTTCCCAGATCTATTTTACTATACATTAATGAAATGACTAAAGTCTTGAAAATTAATACTTTATTTATTTTGCAAGATACTTGCCCTGGCGAGGCATTAATTAATAAATCTGTTGGCTTCATATGGAGTGGATATATTTTTTTTTAAAGCAGAAGGAATAATGTTCTCTGGGTGTCACTGCAGGGTAGGTCAGTTGGAAGAGTATATATCATTGACTAAAGTGTGAATTTATTACATCATTAAGAAAAGAATGATCTAGCCTTTATTAATAAAGTTCTGTAGGCTGGCAGATAAAGGAAAGGGGAACATTCAGCACAGGAAGAGCCTGTAATTTTTTCCTGTAAGCACTTTTCAAGCATGACCTTAAGAATTGAGGAGAAAAAATATTTATTGATTATATCAGATGCTTCCTTATCTTAGGTTTATGAAACTTTGGTTGATGCTTATGAATTTTACATAATGTCTGTTCTTCAAAGGTAGCCATTATTTACTGTGTATTGATTTTTATTTTATTATACTGTATTCTTGTTTTATTATATCTGTTTGCTAGCTTTGATGTACTGATTTTGTATGAATTTTTCCATTATGGTGTAAGACAGATAAATAATCATAGGAAAGATAAAAATGTCTTACTCCATGCAATATGTGGTCCCAGAGCTGAAGGAGAAAGTAAGTGGATCATGCACAGATAGAATTTTCATGATAAGTAAGATCTTTAGACTTTAGTAGATCCATCTTTCTGCTCTTGACAGGTGAACTTGCTTTCAGCAGCTGAGTCCAGATATATTACAGATTGCATTGTGTTATTACTGTATTTGTTCAGCAGAACACTGCAATAGGGCAGCCATTATTACTGGACACTTTTGGGAACTGTGGCCTTAATCTTTCTGCCTCAGTTCCCCATGTGTAAAATTGGGATAATAACACCCTCTCACCTCATAGGGGTGGTGTGAAGGTAAATTCATTCATGTTTGTGAAGCTTTCCAATACTGTAGTGATGATCCATTAGTCACATAGAAAAGTCCATTTGAAAATTAGTAATTCTGAATTCAGAGAAGGGTTTGAATAGTGTGCAGCAAATAAGGCCTGTGGCCACACATTGAATAATGATAAAAAAATATTTAAATAACTACTCAGTCAGAGACCACCATAGCCACTGGAGATGGCCAGGGTGGGGAGGCAGGGTTGAGAGTCATTGCCCGCCCCCAGTTTTTATATGGGGGGCATGTCCCCCCACTTTTGAAAACCTAAACTCAGCAGGGATGCAACAAGGGGGAAAGCCCCCCAGGCTCCTGACCAGAGCAGGGTGGCATAACGGTGGAGCCCCTACCCAGCTGGCAAGATGGAGGGGCAGCTGGGCCATATTTGAATGAGTGGCATTGCAACCTGGTACACGAGGTTGCAACACCACTGAAATTTGGCCCATTTTGGTTGCTTGCCTCCTCCCACTTTTCCCAATGCCCATGGTGAACATTCTGTCCTGTGCACTGACTGAGGGTCCCATGGAAATAAATATTATGTGATCATGTAGTTAAAGACACACAAAAGGCATACACACATGACTGTATGCATGGACAACCTGAGTTTGGCATTTCCTAACTGTTGGCTGCTTGACTTTGCAACAGCAATGTTCTTTTACCATAGGTTTTTTTAATGTTCTGTGTGTGTGTGTGTGTGTGTGTGTGTGTGTGTGTGTGTGTGTATAGATAATACACACACACACATGTTCTCTCACTGTGCAGTCTGTCTCTTTCCATTACATCATACTCATCCCATTTTACTGATTTGCTTGTATTGCCTTGATTTCATCTCAGATCACCTCTGAAACATTACACATTTTATTATGAAATCTCAACAAATAGGTTCTGTGTTTTGTTTAATTCTCTAATCTCCTTTCACAACAAAGGAGCTACTGGTTCCTTCATTGCACTCTTCTTAGCTTATAACAGTTTTCAAAACTTTTCTAAACTAGAGAATATGTTGTCTGTCTCTAGCTCTAGAAGGAAACATCCCTTCTTTCTCACATTCCCCTTGTCTTTCTCTTTACCCACGGAATCTGTTTAAGTTGCCACTTAAGGTCAGTACCATGTTTCTTGTTTATAAACCAACAAGAGCCTTTCTCTGCTTCCTTTCTAGTGCTGTGAAGACAAATATACCTTAAGAATAGACTCTTATAGAGTAATTAGATTCTTAAATAGTTTTTTCGTAAACAATTTATAAATAGGTACATTAGGTACCCCATTGTAGATGCAATCTAGAACTAAATACTTCCACTCACAACAGACAAGCATACTGCACACCTAAACACAGACAGATTATGTCTGTGGGCATGCTTTCAATTTTGCCTCGAGTCTTTTTATTCCCAAACCACTCAAGTAAAAAGCTGTGTGTCAGACCTGTTGGGATAATTGGGCCTACACATTTTCTGTAATTTTGAGCGCAACTGTAAAAAGTGAATGAAAATTTATAAAAGGTCACAGTAACAAATCTTGATGGGAAAAAGATACAAAAGAGACTCAGACTGAGTTAGTCCAAACAAAGGCTACGTTTAACTGGCAAGGCTACTTGGTTACTGGACCATGTATGTGTTCATG